ATAGAGTGATAAAATTATTATTTGAGGTTTCCCCTTCAACCGTTCTGGATAACTAACATTATCTCAGCCATACACAGCAAAACAAATTACACATTGCGTTCTAGAGCTCTTTCTCTCAATCCTCCCAAACCTTTTACGGGGGCTCTCGTGGTCTAGAGGTAAAGGAGTGTTCGCCTCTCATTCAATAGGTCCCGGGTTTGAATCCGAATAGGTAGGAAAATGTTTCTTCTCTAAAACTGTCTCCTTTCACACCCTTTCCTGCGATCTCACAATGTTCTATTGTCTGCTTTCGTTTCCACTTTGTCCCCTCCTCTGGGCTCCTGATTCCTTCTACAGCCTTTCTACTGCTACTCCTTGGCTCCTTCTTACTGCTGTCTTTCAGCCACACCCCTGATCTAACGGTAAGGAAGGTCTACACGAACTTTTTTCGGATAAGGGCAAAAAATATATATAAATCACGGAGGTCCCGTGTGTAAGTTGCGCGCGTTAAAGATCCTTTGGTGGTCCAAAATCGATAAGAGTAGGCTTCGAGGTCGGCACCAGGGCAAACTTCAAATTAACAAACAACTGAAAAGGTGTAGTGTAATGTGTCCCGCGCGCTCATATGACATTAGACAGTTGCGAGCACCGTAAAACATTTACGCACAAAAAGAAACCAACAACAAATGTTCACAACATGTCAGCGGATCTTCTCGTCACCTTCATGATTATCCTCATCAGCTATCTGTGCTTGTTGATGATGATTTGTTTGGTAACCGGCGTATGTAGAGTAGTGGCTTGTTCCTTCGCCAAGGCAAGCAGAAAGCATGAGTTCGATTCGACAGATGAGAGTTTTCTAATGGATTATCCCTGTCTGTCCTTTTTTTTTTGGGGGGGGGAGTGTTTTACGGCACTCGCAACTGTATAAGGTCATATGAGTGCGTGGGACACACCAAACATTTTCAGTAGGTTGGTAAATTTTGAATTTTGCTCGGGTGCCGCCCGAAGCCTACTCTAATCGATTTTTTAAATCTTTACGAAGTGTATACAGACCCGGTAACCGGGAACGAAGTCACGAAGTATACAGACCCGGCAGAGGAACTCTTTTGCGATTTCGGAAAG